GCTCCTATGATGCTGCTTGGCCTGCTGTGTTCATCCAGCTCTGCACCATGTTGTCTCGGATTCTCCGGCATCTGCAGTTCCTACTATCTTTGGAAATGTGTTAGCCTTTTATTTCTTAGTGATGTGCTGGGCTTCTCCATCACTGAGGATGAGCTTGTTATGGAGTCACCTCCTCCAGTTAAAGTTGTTTAATTGTCCTCCACCAGTCACAAGTGGTTGGGATAGTATGCAAAAGCTTTGATCTGATCTTTTGATTGGCTCACTTAGTTATGTCTATCCATGCGATTGCAATTTAGCAATTTGGTACACATGTAATCCTGAGTTGTAGTTTAGCCATTTGCCATCTTATTCTTGGTATGTTTGATGTTGCTGTGAGGATTCTGTTCTGTACTCATTGAACTGGGGTTGGTCCCTTGGCTTGATGACATTGGTAAGACAATTAGAGAAAAGAAGAGGTTGTGCAATAATTTTACGTGAATGGTTGATTGGGCACAGAAATATAGAATCCATTTTGGCTTTTAAGAGAAATTAAGAGTATGGAAAAATGGTAGGACAATAAGAATAAATAGTTGGTATTTTCAAAAAATTATCATAGGCACAAAAACCCAAATGCCATCTTTCTGTACTGTAGAATTTGTTTATCCTGTTAAAATTTTGAACTAACTTTATTATTGTGAGCGGTGTTGAGAATAATCAAGCCTACGGTTACAGAGAAACAGTGTACCCTAACACCAACAACAAAAACAAAGTTGCTGGAGAAGCTCGGCAGGTCTGGCAGCATCTGTGAAGGAAAAAAACAGAGCTAACATTTCTGGTCCAGTGACCCTTCCTCAAAACAGTGTACACTAACACCACCTGGGCTGAAACATTTCAAGAAAATTCAGATCTACAGTTGCATAGTACAATGTTCAAATTTTTGTGGAGTTTAATTTTATCAGAAATACACAGTGGTGAATGATTTTGATCTGAGAAGTTAGCAACCAATGGCATTCATGTTTCCCATCTTGAAATTTTATTTTCTTCTGCACCTAGGTTATTTGATGTATGCACCGTGTCTCGAACAGACCGAGAGACAAAATTGACTCTTGTTTTCGAACATGTTGATCAAGATTTGACTACCTATTTGGAGAAAGCCCCTGCACCTGGAGTTCCTCCCGAAACAATTAAGGTATATGGAGTGATATTTAATGCAATAGCTTGTATTTTAGATTGTTCACACAGTCTGAAAAGTTGGCAACAGTTTTTGATGCATTTATTCTCATATTTCTATTTTTATTTGATTTTCTCTTGTGAATTTCTTTCTCAATAAGGGATTTCTTTTTGACTTGGTCATATTAATCACTTACAGCAATTGTTTTATCCTTGTCTTCAATGGAATTGAAAATCAGGAGAGACACGTGTTGGGGTTTATTCTGGTATTGTCTATTTTTCGCGTGTCACTGAAATTCAGAATAAACCCTAAGAACTGAAGAAGAGATTTTTTAAAATGTCATCATGCAGAATGCATTGAAGGATATGCTGTTTTGGTTCTTTATGTCATATAGGAGATAACACCAAGCTCTTTGATTCCATCCCATCTCACTCCTACTTGTCTCTCTATTTATCCTCCTACCCCTGATCCATTTTCCTCGGTTCATATTCCCATCACCGTCCCATCATAACTGGACCCTGTAAACCCACTCGACTCTGCATAAGTGCTGCCTCCCTGTAAGAGTTACTCAGCTGGTTCCACATTCTACCCTGTAATTACTTTCGTTTCAGATAATTATTCAATTCAACCTCCGCCACACTGTCAGGCAGTGCATTCCAGATCCTGACCATTCAATGGATAAAGAAGTTGATCTTTATGTTCCGTTATTACTTTGTCAGTTACCTAAAAAATAGCTTCCTCCGATTCTCGATCCTTTAACGCTACCCAGACCCCTCTAGATTTTAAATACCTCTATCCACTCCCCTCTTAAACCTCCAAGGAGAACACCCCAGCTTCTACGATAAAAACCAAAAGAACTGCAGATGCTGTAAATCAGGAACAAAAACAATGTTACTGGAAAAGCTCAGTGCTCAAAAACTCAATGTTTTGGGTCCAGTGATACTTCCTCAGAACTTTGGAAGGGTCACCGGACCTGAAACATTAACTCTTGATTTTTTTCTTCACAGATGCTGTCAGACCTGCTCAGCTTTTCCAGCAACTTCTCTTTTTGTTCCGGTTTCTCCAGTCAATCCACGTAACTGAAGTTCTTTATCCCTGCAACCATTCTCGTGATTTTTTTTTCACACGTGCTCCAATATCATCGCATCCTTCTGAAAGTGTCATGCGCAGATCTGGACGCAATATGCAGCTAAAGTTGAACTAATGTCTTATGGGTTTAACATAACTTCCTAACCCTTCCTTCCTTGCATACTGTATTTCTCCAATAATACAACTCAATGATTTTTTTTAGCTAGGCTGTAAAATTGTCATGGCACACTCTGACAATATGTGCATATGTACAGACTGAGAGACAAAATTGACTCTTGTTTTCAAACATGTTGATCAAGATTTGACTACCTATTTGGAGAGATGCATGATGATGTTTTCCCCACCTCTTGACAGTTTTGCATTTTTGAAATGGAGTGTTTTAACCCTTTGAGTCACATACAGTTTAAGAATAGACAAAAGAGGTTTTCTGATAAGTTTAAATCAAAAGAAAAATGAGTTGTCATCACTGCTGTGCTCACTGACTTACATTGGCTCTCGCTTAAACAAGGCTGCGGTTTTAAAATTCTCCTCTTTAGTTTGAAATTGGCTAAGACCTCACTTTTCCCAAACCCCATAATCTCTTCCAGCCTGTAGCCTCAAAATTATATTTGTGTTTCTCCAATCTGGTGTCTTTAGTATCCTTAATTTTAATCCTCCACCATTCACGGCTGTTCAGGCCCTTAATTCAGGAATTCATCACTAAACAACTACTTCTTTTTGCTTGCTTAAAGTACTTCTAAAAATGTTTTTCTTTGATCATACTTTTGGTCATAAGCTCCATATCTGTTTGGCTATATCGTGCTCCCATAAAATGGGAGAAATGCCTTGACGTATTACTACGTTAAAGATGCCATAAAAATACAAATTGCCATTATTTTAGTAGTTGCCATGTGAATGAGGCAGCAAAATCAAACTTTCTCTTTAAACATATTCTGAACAAATAAGGTAAATTTGACCTTGGGCACTAGTATAAAATAACATTGTGATCCAGTTGTCTTGATATCTATCTCATTGAAGCTTCCGCTTTATTTTTAAAAGAAGTTTTTTATGAAGCTGTAGATGTTGGTGTGTCTGTATTTATTGCACATCCCTAGTTGTCAAAAAGTAGTAATGGTGACACTTCTTTTAAACTTCTTTGAAGGTAATAGTTCTTTTTCATTGAGTGATGCAGTCCTTGTTTTAATGGTATATCTATCGTGGCGTTGGGTAAAAATTTCAGAGACTTTGGCAGCTGATTATGTAAGCGGATGTACTGACTGAGTTAACTATTCTGACGCGGATGGTATTGAGCATTTGGAACGTTGTTGAGGCTGGTCCCATCCAGGTGCGTTTGCAAACTTTCTAAATTGAGGGTTATATGATACCCCAAAAAACACTTGGTAAAAGTGGAAAGATTGCGCTGTTAATCAAAGGTGAATGTAGAATCGGTTTGGGTAGAGATAAAGGATATTAGGAGAAAGAAGTCACAGTGGTTGTGGCCTACAGGACCCCAAACAGTAATCACAGTGAGGGACAAAGTACGGAAGGAATGTGCATGCTTGTGTTAAAGGGATGGCATTAATCATGGGTGACTTTAATCTATATATAAATGGAAAAATCAGATTGGTGGTAGCCTGGGTGAAGACTGTGTAAAATGCTCTTGAGATAGTTTCTTAGCATACCACATTTTGAAATCAACCAGAGGGCAGTTATATTAGACATATCCTTATGCAATGTGACAGCATTAATTAATGACCTCAGAGTGGAAGCATCCCTAGGTCTCAGCAAGTATGTAACAAGTATGTTAGTCTTCTGGAGAGTGAGAATCAGGACTTAATATGGAAAATGAAGAAATGGCAGATGAAATGTACAAATGTTTTGTTTCTAACTTCACTATAGAGGATAACAAAAAGATTACAGTAATAGCTGTAAATCGGGAGGTGGAAGGGTGAGAGGCGCTTAGTGATACTTGGCAGAATACAATTGAGGGAAGAGGTGCTAAGCAAACTGATGGAATTGTGGGTTGACAAGTCACCAGATCTACATGGATTTCATCTTAAAGTTTCAAAAGATGTTGCTACTAAACTAGTAGATGGGTTGATGCTAATTTTCTAAAATTCCCTTGATTGGTGAATGGTTTCATTAATGTGGAAAGTAGCCAATATAACCTTCTATTCAAGGAGGGAGGGAAGCAGAAAAGAGACAATCATTGGCCAGTTAGCGTGAAATTCATTGTAAGTAAGATGTCAGAATCTATCATTAAAGAGATTATAACTGCCCATTTGGAAGAATTCGAGATAATAGGGAAGAGTCAGTTTGGTTTTGTTAAAGGGAAATCATGTTTAACCAATTTATTTTCTGAAGGAATAACAAATGTCTTGGATAAAAGGCATCCTGTAGCTGTACTGTACTTGAATTTCCACAAGGCATCTGTTAAAGTGCCAATCAAAGGTTATTGTGAGAAATAAAAGCTCATTATTATGGAGTAACATTTTGGCATGGATAGAAGGAAGATTGGCTGCTCAGCAGAAAACAGAATGCATAAATGGGCCAGAGATAGTAGGAACTACAGATGCTGGAGAATCTGAGATAACAAGGTATAGAGCTGGATGAATACAGCAGGCCAAGCAGCATCAGAGGAGCAGGAAAGCTGACGTTTCGGGCCTAGACCCTTCTTCAGAAATGAAGGCCTTTCTCTGATTGACAAAACATAATGGATAGATTCACATAGGAGCCTCAATGTTTTACAATTTGTATCCATGATCTGGATGAGAAGAGTAAAAGCATGGTAGCTAAGTTTGCAGACAACACCAAGATAGGAAGGTATGGTTTGAAGAAATTATAAGGAGGTTGCAAACAGATATGGATATGTTGAGTGAGAGGACAAAGATCTGGTAGATGCAGTATAATGTCGGATAATGTGAAGTTATTCTCTTTGGCAGGAAGAATGAAAAAGCAGAGTATTACTTAAATGGAAAACAGCTGCAGAATTTGAAGGTGCAGAGAAATTTCGTTGTTCTGGTACATGAGTCACTAAAAGGTTACATGCAGATACGGTGCATAATCAAGTTGGCTTTAGGAATGTGATCCTTCATTACGAGAGGAATTGAAAATAAAAATGAGAATGGTATGTTTCAGTTGTACAGGGCATTGATGAACCCACATCTTAAATACTGTGTGTAGTTCTGGTCTGTTTTTATAAGGAGGGATGTAAATGTGGTGGAAGCACTTTGGAGGTGTTTTACTAGATTGATCAAGCAATGAGCAGGTTGTGCTGAGAGGATATGTTGGAAAATCAGATGGTAACGCAAATATCAAACATTGAAGTGCTTACCCGAGTTGACACACCCAGCATCCACACCAGATTATAGCCTTTCTGCTCCTTGCCTAGAGAAGCCACCTTGCTAACCAATTTTTAATTAATTTGAAACAAATGAAAGATGGAGATAAACCTACATCAAGTAGAATGTTTATAGGTGCTAACAGGTGAAATCATCTGTTAAACCATTAACTACCATTTTCCTTGCCTTGGAGATATATAACAACAAGCTTTTGTCTGACCAGACAGGTTTCTATTAGTCAAGTTAATAATGCTTTAATGAAGCATAAGGAGCAATAACAAAATGACATGTAATGGGTTGACATCTGCTGTGATTTGTGCCTGGCCAAAGAAAACAATATAGTTGCTGAGAGCAGAGTTTAAACAACAATAGAGCATTTTCAAAATAGCAATCGCTCCTTCATTTTACCATGTGGTAGTTTTTATTGTTGACTTTATTACACTCCTCTAAATGTCAGCACAGTCCTTGCTTGTATAATGCACTACCTTTTGCTTTCACTCAGTTCATCTGGATAAATATTTTTAACCTTATTTCAACTTTCCAGTCACTTCCAAACCATTTGTAGAATGAAGTAATGGGCCTCTCGGAACTTTCAATGTAGGGCCTTGG